AGTAAAGTAATTCTTCCTAATATCTAATCTAAACCTCCCCTGCCACAACTTCAGACCATTTCCTCTGGTCCTGTCATTATTCCCTTGGGAGAAGAGGCCAACACCCACCTCCCTACAACCTCCTTTCAGGTAGTTGTAGAGGGCAATGAGGTTGCTCCTCAGCCTCCTCTTATCCAAACTAAAGATGCCGAGTTCCCTCAGACTCTCCTCATACGACTTGTTCTCCAGACCCTTCACCAGCTTGGTGGCTCTCCTCTGGACATGCTCCAGCAGCTCAATGTCCTTCCTGTAGTGAGGGGCCCAGAACTGAACACAGTACTCAAGGTGAGGCCTCACCAGTGCCAAGTACAGAGGCACCATCACTTCCCTACTCCTGCTGGCCATGCTATTCCTGATACAGGCCAGGATGCCGTTGGCCTTCTTGGCCACCTGGGCACACTGCTGGCTCATGTTATGCCAGCTGTTTACCAACACCCCCAGGTCCTTTTCCGCTGAGCAGCTCTCCAGCCACTCTGCCCCCAGCCTGTAGCGTTGCCTGGGGTTGTTGGGACCGAAATGCAGGACCCGGCACTTGGCCTTATTAAACCTCATCCCGTTGACCTTGGCCCATTGATCCAACCTGTCCAGATCCCTCTGTAGAGCCTTCCGACCCTCAAGCAGATCAACACTCCCACATAGTTTGGTGTCATCTGCGAACTTACTGAGGGTGCACTCAATTCCCTTATCTAGATCATCAATAAAGATATTAAACAAGACTGGCCCCAGAAACAAGCCCTGAGGGACACCACTGGTAACCGGTCGCTAACCAGATTTCACCCCATTAATCACAGCTCACTGGGCATGGCCATCCAGCCAGTCAGTTTTTTATCCAGTGAAGAATACACTTGTCTATGCCATGATTTGCCGGCTTCTCCAGGAGAATGCTGTGGGGGACAGTGTCAAAGGCCCTACCAAAGTCCAGGTAGACAATGTCCACAGCCTTCCCCGCATCAAGAAGGCAAGTCACATGGTCATAGAAAGAGATCAAGTTGGTTAAGCAGGACCTCCCTTTCATAAACCCATAGTCTGGCTGGCCCTGATTCCCTGGCTGTTGGGCAATGAGGTTGCTCCTCAGCCTCCTCTTATCCAAACTAAAGATGCCGAGTTCCCTCAGACTCTCCTCATACGACTTGTTCTCCAGACCCTTCACCAGCTTGGTGGCTCTCCTCTGGACATGCTCCAGCAGCTCAATGTCCTTCCTGTAGTGAGGGGCCCAGAACTGAACACAGTACTCAAGGTGAGGCCTCACCAGTGCCAAGTACAGAGGCACCATCACTTCCCTACTCCTGCTGGCCATGCTATTCCTGATACAGGCCAGGATGCCGTTGGCCTTCTTGGCCACCTGGGCACACTGCTGGCTCATGTTATGCCAGCTGTTTACCAACACCCCCAGGTCCTTTTCCGCTGAGCAGCTCTCCAGCCACTCTTCCCCCAGCCTGTAGCGTTGCCTGGGGTTGTTGGGACCGAAATGCAGGACCCGGCACTTGGCCTTATTAAACCTCATCCCGTTGACCTTGGCCCATTGATCCAACCTGTCCAGATCCCTCTGTAGAGCCTTCCGACCCTCAAGCAGATCAACACTCCCACATAGTTTGGTGTCATCTGCGAACTTACTGAGGGTGCACTCAATTCCCTTATCTAGATCATCAATAAAGATATTAAACAAGACTGGCCCCAGAAACAAGCCCTGAGGGACACCACTGGTAACCGGTCGCTAACCAGATTTCACCCCATTAATCACAGCTCACTGGGCATGGCCATCCAGCCAGTCAGTTTTTTATCCAGTGAAGAATACACTTGTCTATGCCATGATTTGCCGGCTTCTCCAGGAGAATGCTGTGGGGGACAGTGTCAAAGGCCCTACCAAAGTCCAGGTAGACAATGTCCACAGCCTTCCCCGCATCAAGAAGGCAAGTCACATGGTCATAGAAAGAGATCAAGTTGGTTAAGCAGGACCTCCCTTTCATAAACCCATAGTCTGGCTGGCCCTGATTCCCTGGCTGTTCTGCCCTTGCCGTGAGAGCTCACTCAAGATGATCCTCTCCATGATCTTTCCCAGTACTGAGGTCAGGCTGACAGGCCTATAGTTTCCCAGATCCTCAGGAGTTTTCCTCCTAAGAGACATCTTCCCTTATCTAGATCATCAATAAAGATATTAAACAAGACTGGCCCCAGAAACAAGCCCTGAGGGACACCACTGGTAACCGGTCGCTAACCAGATTTCACCCCATTAATCACAGCTCACTGGGCATGGCCATCCAGCCAGTCAGTTTTTTATCCAGTGAAGAATACACTTGTCTATGCCATGATTTGCCGGCTTCTCCAGGAGAATGCTGTGGGGGACAGTGTCAAAGGCCCTACCAAAGTCCAGGTAGACAATGTCCACAGCCTTCCCCGCATCAAGAAGGCAAGTCACATGGTCATAGAAAGAGATCAAGTTGGTTAAGCAGGACCTCCCTTTCATAAACCCATAGTCTGGCTGGCCCTGATTCCCTGGCTGTTCTGCCCTTGCCGTGAGAGCTCACTCAAGATGATCCTCTCCATGATCTTTCCCAGTACTGAGGTCAGGCTGACAGGCCTATAGTTTCCCAGATCCTCAGGAGTTTTCCTCCTAAGAGACATCTTCTAATCCCCTAATCATCTTTGTAGCTCTTTGCTGTACCCTCTCCAGCAGTTGCCTGTCCTTCTTGAACTGGGGAGCCCAGAACTGGACACAGTACTCCAGATGAGGCCTCACCAGGGCAGAGTAGAGGGGCAGGCTAACCTCCCTTGACCTGCTGGCCACACTCTTCTTGATGCACCCCAGGATGCCATTGGCCTTCTTGGCCACAAGGGCACATTGTCGGCTCATGGTCATCCTGTTGTTCACCAGGACTCCTAGGTCTTTCTCCTCAGAGGTGCTTTCCAGCGGGTTGGCTCCCAACCTGTACTGGTGCTTGGGGTTATTTCTCCCCAGGTGCAGCACTCTACACTTGCCCTTGTTGAATTCCATCATGTTCCTCTCTGCCCAACTTTCCAACCTGTACAGGTCTCACTGTATGGTGGCACAGCCTTCTGATGTTTCAGTCACCCCTCCCAGTTTTGTGTCATCAGCAAACTTGCTGAGGGTACCTTCTGTCCCTTCATCCAGGTCATTGTTGAATGTATTGAAGAGGACTGGAGAAACACCACTTGTTACGGACCTCCAACTAGATTCTGTGCCCCTAATAATGACCCTCTGAGGTCTTTCAGTCAGTTTTCAATCCATTTAACTGTCCATTTATCTAACCCACACTTCCTAAGCTTAGCTGTGAGGATGCTGTAGAAGACCGTGTCAAAAGCCTTGCTGAAGTCAAGGTAGACAACATCCACCGCCCTCCCCTCATCTGTCCATCCAGTCATGCCATCATAGAAGGCTATCAGGTTAGTCAGACATAATTTCCCCTTGGTGAATCCGTGTTGACTACTTCTGATAGCTTTCTTTTCCTCCATACACTTTGAGATGACACCCAGGGTGAGCCGTTCCATCATCATTCCAGAGATGGAGGTGAGGCTGACCAGCCTGTAGTCTCCTGGGTCCTCCTTGCCCTTTTTGAAGAGACATTGGCTTTCCTCGGGCACCTTGCCTGTTCTCCAGGACACTTCAAAGACGATGGAAAGAGGCCCAGCAATGACATCTGCCAGCTCCCTCAGCACTCGCGGGTGCATCCAGTCATGACCCATGGCCTTGCGGATATCCAGTTTACTTAACTGTTCTCTGACTTGATCTTCCTCAACCAAGCGGAAGTCTCCTTTTGTCCAGACTTTGTTACTTCCAAAGCCAAGGACTCCTGAGAGCTGGCCTGAGCAGTAAAGACTGGAGCAAAGAAGGCATTCAGCAATTCCGCCTTCCCTGCGTCCTCTGTCACCATGGCACCCATCTCATCCAACAGCGGGCCCACATTTTCTCTAGTTTTCCTTTTGCCTCTAGTAGGTTCTTCCAAGTGAGTTGGGCTGTGAAAAGAAACAATGTTTCTGTGCTAATGTGACTTTGAAATGGTTTTGCCTTTTCTGTGGCATTCTCAGTGTGCGAGCCATGTGAATGTGGGAGTTGAAGATGAGTGCTGCTGCGCAGATCTGAAGCTATTTTGCCTGGAGTTAATATGTGAAATGCATTCATTGAAGCACTTGGACACTCTCCAGAGGTTCTTTTGCATAAGCAGCAGGCTAACATCTGCATCTGGTCCACAGGCACAGAGTTCTGCTAAACCTCTTCAGGTTTGAGAACCTCTGCAACTGCTGCCTTCAACTATGTTTGTTGTATAAGGGAGGAAGGTCCACCAGATTACAAGCATATGTGTCTCTCTCAAAAGGCTGGCAAAGAATATTTCACCTTGCAGGTGGAGAGCTGTAGGAAAGCTGGGTGAACAAGATGCTCTTTGCTCTTGGGTGCAACAGCACATTGAATTCCTGGAATTCGTATGTACTTGGAAGCTGAAAAGTGCTTACTTTATTGTATCTTTATTTAAAGGAAGTAAACATCTTGTGTTTACTAGGTGCAAAATGTGGTTCAAGTCTGAAAATTATAAGAACTGTTCTTCCACCAAGTGGATTGGTAGAATTAGAGAAGTAACTGCATGAAGATTCTGATGTTACGCTGCTGGGGCGTCGTTGAGTAGTTGGCTGTGGAGATGTTACATCTCTGCAGTATTTGCTTTGAGGGAGGTGCATCCTTGCTGAATCTGTAGAGTAAAGAGATACACTTACCCACTTTGACTGTTTTTTCATGTGTATAAATAAGGCAATATTCCACATCATTAACCCTACCATTTCCTACTGTCAGCGAAAATCATGTCAACCTGTTACCAAGACAGTTTAGTGTTTCTGTTCGTTTTGTGATCCCTGAAAAGTGCTAGTTAGTTCGTGTTTGTATGTGAAACTGACTGTGCATAGTATTTACTGAGGGGTGCAGTATTCTTGCTCTCATGCCGTATCTTTTGCAGACTAGTCCTTTTGCCATGGAAGCCGAGGAAACGATGGAATGTATCCAGGAATTCCCTGAACACTATAAAGTCATTTTGGATAGACTGAATGAACAACGTGAGCAGGACCAGTTTACGGATATCACACTGATTGTCGATGGTATGTACAGGCCTGAGAACCCGTCAACATAAAGAGAATTCTGGAAGCTGTGTTGAGAACCTGCTGGGTTTGTCACAGGTCAGCTGTCAGACTGGGCTGCCAACAAATTCTTGGTTCTGTTCTGGAGTTGGTTGCAGTTTCATTTAAAATCTCAGGGCCAACAGAGTCTCCAGCAGTGATTAATGATTTTGCTTCTGCTTTTCCAAACAAGGGTTCAGATAGAAGCCCACTTTGAAACTGCTGTGCTATATTTAACTTGTTTTCTTAGGATTTCCAAAACACTGTTAAAATATTTTTCCCTAACTTGAGCTCACTGTTTGCATGCAGAAAACTTGTACAAATAGTGTGCTTTTAAAAAACAAAACAGACATCACCACTTTGAAATAAGATTTACTTCATGCTTCTCTGGTATCTGCCTGTTATTTTAATATATTGTTAAAATAGGGTAGAAGCACTCATTTTTCTTTTTATATGTGCTCTAAGGACATAATTATTAGTTTAAAAGGATGACCGAGATATAAATGCTTATTATTTCCTTAGAAAAGGTGGTGTCTGATAGATCACCTAAGATTGCTTCTTATCCCAAAAAAGTCTTGGAACAGATGAAGACTTCAGGGAAGATAGGCCGTGTCAGCTAGGACAGACTTAGCTAAAGGAGTACCACCTGATCTTTAAAAAGATAGCAAGAACTCACTTGAAGGGAAGGGGTGCTACAGGACCCAAATTAGAAGAAAGTAAGCAAATGAAGTAAAAATTACTCTTCAGGAATTACTGTAGTTTGACTGACAGCGCTTGCACAAAGCTTATCCTGAACGTTTACTCCTGCTCTGGTATTACCAAATGCATGTGTTGAGCTGAAAGCTGGTTTTGTGCATGGCTGTGTAGTTCTAATTCATGTTGCTTCTCTTGTCTCTGTCGCGTGGAGCCTTGTGAGTGTTCAGGCCTGTGCCAGGGGAAGGCAGCACAGTGATGAGGAATATGCAGTTCTTTCTGGAAACCAGGAAGAACAGAGCAGAACTACCTCTGCTCTACAGTACAGTGGTGTTTATGGTAGCAGAAGTGGTGATAAAATAGATCAGTCTGTAAAAGCAACAAAAAACAAGGAGAACCTGAATAAAACCCAAGAGCTGAGCCCAAGGCATACAGGAGAAAGTTTACATAGGAATTTCCCGTAACTTAAATATCTGAAAAAAGAAATGCTGGAGTGAGTGAGTCCTCCAGCTGATTGAGTTGCAGAGGCTTCGGCAAGGTCAGTGATGTCAGCAAGGGTCTGCATGGGACAGGACGGGCTAGCTGCAGTAGTATCCCATGTTACAGGGAGAGGTACTAAGTGACTGTATGGTCCTGAAATACATTTGTAGACTGTGTGGTCTCTTTTCTGCGTCTGCATGTATTTTGCATTATGAGTGAGGAAGGTATTATCCTAAACCAAAATTTTTTGTCTTGCTTTGTAGGTCACCATTTCAAAGCTCATAAGGCTGTTCTTGCTGCCTGCAGCCAGTTCTTCTACAAATTCTTCCAAGATTTCACTCAGGAGCCCTTGGTGGAGATTGAAGGTAATCTGATTTGTGCAAATAAAAACCTCCAGAGTTGTGTTCCTGAGCTGGAAGTGAATGTAGTATCCTTCGTAAGGCCTTACGTAAATGCTTGATCATATAAATTAGCTTTCTAGGTCTCAGTTCTTGAGTTGGTCTGAGGCAGCTGCCAACAGTAGAAAAAAAAATCTGGAGAAAAATTAAAAAGAAAAGTCTTGAATTAAATTTTTTGGAAGGAAAAGTGTGAGGTTCTGTGGGTGTTTTTTTCATTTTTTTTTTCCTGCCGCCACCTTGAGTTCATGGCTAATTGAGGTCAGGCAGACCATGTATACTTCTAGAACTAACAGTGTGACATATAATCTTTTCCCTGACAACAGTCATTCTGGTCAGATGAAGAAGGCTGCCAGTGGTGGCCAATGGCAGATGCCTTGGCTGGGATGCAAGAACAGGAGAGTCAGGGAGCAGTACTTGCCCAGTAGGCAGGAAGCAAATTCCTGGAGCGATATTTCAGCCTCCAGTAACATGCTGCTCAGAGGTCTCTTGAGAGAGAGGTTGTATTTTTGTATTTAAATATATACTTTTTATTATTCAGGTTTTTTGTCCATCTTATCTTTTTCCATGGGATAACTATGTGGTTGTTCCAGATTCATGTGTTTCTAGAGCTGACTTTTTATTCCAACGTAAGCCTTTTAAGGGTGTTGTCTCTATGAAACTAGCAGCTACAGTACCATGAGCAAAATGGTGAGCAGGCAAGCTTGCAGCATTCATCACACAGATGAGACCAAGGAATTGCTAAGTGAAACTGCTGTTTTTCTTGCCTGTATACAGGTGTAAGTAACATGGCATTTCGTCACCTAATTGAGTTCACCTATACAGCAAAACTAATGGTCCAAGGTGAGGAAGAAGCCAATGATGTTTGGAAAGCAGCTGAGTATCTACAGATGTTAGAAGCGATCAAAGCACTTGAAATCAGGTAAGCACATAAGCCTCTTTTTCTTCCCAACGCTGAAATACAGAGTCACAAGAATCCTTTTACAAGAGCTGGCTGACAGTATTTTTTGGCCCTTCCTTATCCTGGTAACTCCTAAATTTGTGTGGGACCACATGCTCTTCCACTGTAAGATACGGGTTAGAATTATACAGGCTGAAAAATGAATGTCACATTCTTTGGTCTGGAACTTGATGACAAGTGACACAGCTGGTAAATGTTGCAGACTTTGTAGGGCTGTGACTTTGTGGTAACTAATACCAGGCTTCTGTGCTATCTGACTGCCCACAACTGATTGGGAGCTGGGTGTACAGTGATGTCATGCCTCGGGTAATTAGACCACATTAAGTAGCTTGTGCTGGTGTTTTGATTTCATGCAGCTTCCTGCTATTTCTGGGAGAATAAGCAGTAATCTTAAAACTTCTTGCTGCAAAAGGCAGTGCTAGGTTAGTGGTTGGACTTGGTGATCTTAAAGGTCTCTTCCAACCATAAGGAGTCTATAATTCTGTAAAATTAACCTCTCAAACTTCTTAAATTAATGTAACTGTTATAACGAGTTTTATATGGGATCAATACTTAATCAGATGTTGCTGTGGCACCTTTTGTGCGGCACCAGGAACTGTATTCCATTGCCAAACTCCAACCTGAGAAAAGCAGGTGCCAGTTCCATCATGCTGTTTTAATTCCCCTTCCTTCACTTTCGCTTTCATGAAGTGTTTTCATGTTCTTCTTCCTTCTGTATGCTACACTGTTCTGCTGGCATGAAGCAGAGGGAGGGGCAATAAATGCTCCCAGCATTACAGTTATTCTTGCTTTCTGTTCTAGACCCACTGAAAGTTCTTTGCATTCAGGCTGAGGAAAGACTGTTGCTAAAGTTTTGTTTAAAAAAACCCACACTTCTATGATATCATCCACTGGAAACTTAGTTTTCAACATCAGCATTTATTTCTGAATTAACTTATTTTGTGGTTTGGCAGTAGAGCTGAATAAGTATGTATATTTTTTAATAGGAAAGATACAAGGTCATGCATTTCTAGTCCTACCTTCCAACTCCACAAACACCCTTTTGTGACATTATTCAGATTAAGCATGGTACCACCAAAAGATTATGGTTTTTTATTCAGGAAAAAAACAAACCAAGACCTTAGCTGTCTGCTTGAGGAGTGTAGAAGAAACTTGAAACTGAAAAAGTGTGTTCTAATTGTATCATTTTGCATCAGTGTGCACCAGTAGACCTGTTGAACCAGGGTTCAGATCCGTCCATCAAGTTGAACTGTCCAGCCTGCAATTATTTCCCACTGTTGTATAATGTTATGAAGTTTGTTGGTTATGCATCACTAGTAAACACTGTAATTTTTATGTTACATGGAAACAAATGTTTTGCATAATAAACACCAGGCAAGCCAGGCTATTCTTAGAATTATTTCCATTGTTCATATATTTTGAAAATTTTGGGGGGGGGGGTTTGTTTGGGTTTTTTTTCCGACAAACTTGAGTACCACTGTCAGACCCTGTTTTCTCTTTCATAGTAAGAGGGGCAGACTTGCAGTACAGTGTTTCAGTCAGAGCTCTGACTGAAAGCCTTCAGAAACTTCAGAGATGGTTATAGAACTAATTATTTGCATAATGCATCAGAGTTGCGTATCACACAATCTAGACTAGAAAGAAACCAACCAGCTGTTACTCCTTAAAGAATAGTTGTGCTGTCTGTGTGTATCCCCATTCAAAGTTTCACAGAATGTGGTCGAGGATGGTAGTCTCCTCTTTGCTGAGCGGATTATTCTTTTAGTACGTGGTCCTGGACCTCCTTGCAGTAATGTGCAAACTGTCGCCTTCTGGGCATTGGAAATCCAGGCTAGGGGAACCTATAAGTTTAGGTGGTAGGTATTCCTGTGTCTGAGTAGAGTAAGGTGCAGTTTAATAGGTTGTATCCTGCATTAGATCATTAGCAACACGTCTCTCACATATGACTTACGGATACTGGGTGAAGCCTTGTCTCTCCTATTACTGGAAAATCAGAAAGTGATAGGGAGTAAATTAAGTGAAAGTATTCATCGGGCTGCAAAGGAAGGTAAAAGCACAGCTTACTCCTGTCAGTCTGATTTGACAGCCACTCGTTTTCAAAACTGTGGATGATGTTGAAGGTGTGACTTGAAAGCACTGGCCCACTCAGCTTTCTGTGTCTGAGATGGCGCCTGTCTGGGAGGAAGGGGCCTGTATCTGTGTCTGTATGGTGCAGGAGGAACAGGAACAGAGCTGGTGGTTGTGTTTAAACCCAGAAAATGAAAATAGAATACTCTTTCCACATTGCAGGGGCTTTTATTTTTACCTCGGCTATTAGCTGTGTACTTTCTGAAGTACATGTTGTTATAATAGTCATTGTATGAAGTCATGGCTGTGGTGTTTTCTAACAAGCTGTAAGTGCTGCAAGCAATTGCACACACTCCAGGAGGTATAGCATAGGAAGGACTTGAATCTTATTTCTGAGTAGACACACCAAAGAACTCCTTCCTTTGGGGAAGTTTTCTTTCCAAGTACAGAATTCCACAAGTTTCTCAGATAAGCCGGTGTCATTAGGGTAACTGGCCTTTCTTCTTGATAGGTGCTTTGTATCATTTAAGCAGAGCTGTTTAAAACACTTTAGTATACTTACGTCAAGCACTCTGCAGCTTTAACCATACTGTTTTACAGCCCTGAAGAGTATAGATTAAAGGCAAACTAGCTTCTTACATGCACACAGGTTATGTGGTCATTTGTCATTCAGCTTCTTTGAGAAACAGCTAGAGAATGTTGGATGCAGAAGCTCAGTATTAGGCAGGAATTGTTATGTCAGTGCTTATGGATCTTAACCTTGTTTATGCAAATGCTTTACAGGAACAAAGAAAATTCATCACCCTTAGAATCAAATCAAGCACAAGGCAAAAGTAAACCAAAAAAGAGGAAGATAGCTGAAACCTCTAATGTTATCACAGAAACACTGCCATCTGCAGAATCGGAGCCTGTTGAAATTGAGGTTGAGATTGCTGAAGGGACAATTGAAGTAGAAGATGACAGCATCGAAACACTTGAAGAAGTAGCTTCTGCAGAGCAATCCATAAAGTACATCCAGACAACGGGTACATCAGATGAATCTGCTTTGGCTCTTTTGGCAGATATCACCAGCAAGTATCGTCAGGGAGAGAGAAAATGCCAGATCCAAGAAGAAGGTGATAGTGCAACTGATCCCTCGTGCAAACAGGTAGAAGGTATTGAAATTGTGGAACTTCAGCTGTCACACGTGAACAATTTATTCCACTGTGAGAAATGTAACCGTTCGTTTAAATTGTTTTACCATTTTAAGGAACACATGAAAACACACTCTACAGAGAGTTACAAGTGTGACATATGCAATAAAAGGTACCTACGAGAGAGTGCTTTGAAACAGCACCTCACCTGTTACCACCTTGATGAAGGTGGTGCCAGCAAGAAGCAAAGACCTGGCAAGAAAATACATATATGCCAGTATTGTGATAAGCAGTTTGACCACTTCGGGCATTTTAAGGAGCACCTCCGGAAGCACACAGGTAAGAGTGCTGCTATAGTCCTGTCCTTGGGGCCTTGGCTCTGGCATTTTGGGTTTTTGCATGTTTAGAGGAAACAGAGAATAAGCTGAAGAGAACACAAGTCCTGAGTGCTAGAAATACTTGGCTTCTGGTTACAACTGAAATGCTGGTTTGTCTTTTTGTTTGATCGTTTATTTTGTTTTCAATTCATGTACAATTTTGAAGGATTGATGAGGTTAAAAATAGACACCTGAAACCAGAAAGCACTAATGCAGCTTCTCCACTAGTAAATCTATTGAAATTTGATTGGAACTGAGAACTTCTCAGTGGAATACAGTTCAGAAGGTTTCTTTATGTAACTTCTTGATGTAACTTCTATGACACTTCTGAGTGAATGCTTATTAATCCATTAGGTATACAATGACCCCAAAGAATTCTCTCTTGTACCATCTTGTTTGGAAAGTTTCACCCTTGCGCTTAACATCTCATCTGTGATTTGATTTTTCTTTGTTAATTAATGCAGCAAAACATGTTTAGTGACTGTAGTGCACTTTTTTTTTTTTAACTGTAAAATCAGCCTCTGAAATCTGGGTAGGATTTTTTGAGCACAAAATGACTTGTGCTCCTTCTTTCTTCTTTATAATATGGGAGGTTAAGATGCTACTTCTTCATCTCACTGAAAAGTCTACTGTCTGAAGAGATACTGAGCATTATACAAGTAACTCTGAATGTAAAATATACGTGGTCCTGATCTTTCAGATGCTTTTGTTTAATATGTCAGTCATGAGTCGTCAATAAGAATTTAATGGAGGGTGGCAGCCCTATTTCTTTAACAGCTTCTTATTGTTGTTAAAACTTTTTAATTCTAATTTCTTTGGATCTGTGTGTGGGACTACTGAGTATTGATATATGACACTGTGTCCAGTCTATTCCAAATAGCCTCTTAAAAGTTCCATTTATAAACAGTTGTTGGCAAGTCTTTATTCCCTGTGAAGCACGGAGTGTTTCTCCATTACGAGCAATCCAAATACAAGCTACTTAACAATAGTATTTTCAGAGAAAAGTTTGTGGCAGATTAACAGAGTAACCCAAATATCACAATACGTTGGTTGTTCCTGCAATGAAGGATTCTGGAGACAAAGCAACTTGGCGTATCATGGGACGTACAGACCACTTTCTAATTATCTATTGTTACAAGTATAAAGCATGGAATCTAATTACTTCTGGTTTTGCATTTTCAAAATCCTTAAGGTTAAAATTAAAACAGATGCTACTGCTTAACTGTGGGCTCCTAAGGTCAGTGCAAAAAATCCCATTCAGCCAAAGGCTAAGTTCTGAATTCTGTACAGCACCGGTTGAATGCTCAAATGAAATGAAAAGGCCTGGGACAAAATGTCCTACAAAGTATTTGATCTTGTTGCTGCTTAATCACAAGACTAGCAATAACATGAAAATAGCAACTGGGGCAGAAATAGCCACCTTGTCAGTGTGATGTAGGATATTTTTTTTTGTGATGTAGGAATTTAACATTACCAATGGCTGTTACCTTTGTATCAACAATAGAAAGGAAGGAGATCTGTGGAGTTTCTTTCTCACTCATGCATGCAGTGCCTTAGGAAGCTTCTGAGTCTCTGAAAAAATACCTCAGAAATGTCTCGCATGTTATGTATGTCTGAAAGTATTAACGAAGTAATCTCCAGAATTTATAAAGAGGGAGGAGTTTCTGTCTGATCTAGTTATTATCTTTCTCCCCTTTATGACAGTGGATGAGATTTCACTTGCCAATCATTAAGTACCGCACATGACAAATTCTGCAAGGCTGCACTGAAGCAATGAATATCTGTCGAGTTCAATAGCTCTAATTTGTCTTACACAAGAAAAGCAATTTCCTCATACAAAAATAAATCTTAGAATGAAGCTACTCCTCTCAACAGGCTGATATTTTGCAAAGCTTATGTTCCCTAGCAGAAAGAGACACTGAACAGCTTTGATTGCCTCTGATTTTACTGGGAATTTTGACTGCTGAATAGTTCTCAATCTTAGGCATTCTTGATTATTTTTTTTCTTGTTGCCCTTTTATGGAGAGTGTGTGTGTGCTCACGTGGGTGCAGATGAAAGTAAAGGAATCGTGATGTGCTCCAAGCAGCTAAATTAATCTACCCTTGTCTGAAAAACTTGTAACTGAAGTAATTTGTATACAGACCTCCTAGTAAAAATTAATCAAGGTCTTTGCCATTCTTGGTAAATCTAAAATATGTTTTACAGGAAGCGTGCTTTAAATGGCAAGTAACATCTTCCATAGGAGTGAATAAATGGACTTTATTTATGTACCTTGAGAAAATGATCCCAAGAAATTCATTTAATAAACGCCTGCCTCTGGTGTGTGTGGGGGAAAAAAAGTAATAACTAGGTTTACTATTTCTCTCTAATCCCAATCTACATAATGATATGGTAGCTTCATGGTTATGGTTTAATTCCCTGGTATTTCTTCCATATTAGGCAAATAAAAGTTAATATGTTGTTATGAATTTCTTTGGGTTAAAAATATTTATTTGGGACAGTCTCCTTCCTGTGACTCTCAGATTAGAAAGGACTGGCACAATATTGGACTATCTCCAGTGAGATATTTCTGTCCTGTGAGTTACCATTGGCAATTGAAGTCTCATCTCTTCTCATAAAGGGAGAAAAAGATAAGGCCAAACCTCTCTCTCTTTGTAATATCTCCCTTAGGTGAGACTAAACTCATAGCTGGATGCTACACCAGGAGGAGAAGCAAGTTGTCACCTTTAGCAGAGGAGTTTAACCTCCAGCTGGCCAGTGTGTTTCTCAGAGAAGAGAGGAGACACCTGGCGTGCTCTCTGTGTTTTCCATCACTGCTGTGGCTGGTGCACCCCAGCTCACGGCGCTGATTTGCACTGTGCAAGAAGTTGGGCAATGTCTTTTGGTCTTTGGACGTTGCCACCATTATCTTTGAATTGTCACTTTCAGACATTTTCGGGAGAATAGGTTGGAGATTACTGAAGAATCTGAGTAAGAATAGAATAAATCTGTCCCTGACTGGTGTCTTGCTCCTGGCAACTACCTAAATGTAGCCAGGTCACAGGGCAGGTGAAGGTCTGTGGTGTGAGTTTTGCTCTGTGGTACCCACCAGTTGCTTGGGCAAAGTCCATGACTTTTGACCTGCAAGACTTAAGGCAGTTCAGCATCCTCTGCACTACCTGTACAACAGCCTCCAAAACCATAGCATTTTGGAACGATTAAGGGGAATGTTCCCAACATTTAACATTTTTCAGTAGCCTTTATGTATATAAATGAGAATTATAGGCTACTTGTGGCTTTTTTTTGAGCAGTTAATTAGGAATTTCTGAATATCTTTATTTCTGAAAATACAGGTTTATTGGCATTCCATCTCAATAGTCTATAACTACTGCATTCCTGAAAATGCAGGCTTTCAAACTAGATAGGATAGATTCTTATGTTATTCCCTGAAATGTCTTGGCCTCTTTTGGAGTTCATTAAGATGTTTGTTTCAGTAGCGATGTTGGTGTCAGTACCTCCACAGATATAATTATCAGACTATCAGAAGAAACACACTGTTCCTAACTTTTTGTACTTTAATTTCCTTGAATTTCATTGTGTTTGTGCATGATGGAATTAGTAAACAAGAGACACAAGTTGTTCTTTGTTACTACTTGATGACAGTAATAACAATATACTACTTTGGATGAAAAAGAGGAAACGACCTGTTTTCAGCCTCCCCTGCTGTTGTCCTTAGCTGGCTTCTGTGTTTGGTACCAGGTTTGAAATGAAGTGAAAGGAATTTTTATCTTCCTTATGCCAATTTACGTCCCACTGTGCTTCTCTTCACTGGAATTTGGGGGGCAGGGGAGGACACAATGGGGTGTTTGTTTGTTTGTTTTAATACTGATGCATTGTTATTTCATGGTCATTCCATGCCAACTTCTTTTTCTGGAGCTCAGTTTCAGCTCTCAACCATAAGCTGCTACTGTTTTTGAAAATAAAACTTGGTATTATTTAAGCACTTCTTTTATGTGTCACATCATAAATTTACTGACATGGATTCTTTAATTGTAAACATTATCAGACAAAAAGAGAGAAATAGCTGCTATTTCATTAAGATATTTTGTCAGAACAGTAATCTAATTTCCATAAAAACTTAAGTGTACCTTAAATGGCACTGGAAATTGTTACCTTTTTTTTTCAAATTAAGAATTATCACTCCACGTTAGGTTTTTGCCCTTTTATTTACAAAAACAAAGTTTACATATAATGTCTTTCTCCTCTTCTGTCGAATAATCCAGTTTGCCACATCTTTACAGCATATTTATCAAGCTAAACAAAAGGGAGAGAGGGGAGGAAGAGAAAGGTGACAGAAAACTGGCTGGTTTTATACACTTACAAATCCCTGTATCTGTCTTAACAGGTGAAAAACCGTTTGAATGTCCAAACTGCCACGAACGTTTTGCTAGGAATAGCACGCTCAAATGTCACCTGACGGCCTGTCAGTCTGGAGCTGGAGCCAAAAAGGGAAGGAAGAAGCTGTACGAATGTCAGGTGGGTACCTCCTTCCTGCGCTGGGGCAGCGTGGGAGCACGCAGCAGGAAAGGCAACAAGGGTGGGCTCACGTTTCCAACAGCTACTTTTAGTAAAATAAATACAAGGATTGCATTCAACCACAACGTGCAGATAAATTCTTGTATCTAAGTAGTTCTATTTAAAATACAGAACTACTGATAAGGAGCCTCGTAATACTTGAAATCAGGGAGATTCTGTGTTCATCTGCATTTTACTGATCCTCCTGCTTCCTTTGCAAGGTTCTTGATGCACTGACCTAGGTCTTTACCAATTGTGAGCATGCTTCACTCCAGTCCAAAATACAAAGTGCTGTTTTATTTCCTATTGTATTATTCTTCTGTTGGACATCCAGTATATTGACTTTGTCTGGAAAGTCATTCCAACTTATGATGGTAGTCTGTAATGTCTTCTAAGGAAATAGAAATGCTGTAGGTAGATTGATCTGTAGGTACTTGATCACTATACATAATGGACGTTTCAAAAGTTGATTCTGAAAAGCTGGAAAATACAGGAGCTGAGGTTTGTTGTAGCATTTTTATTTGCCGTTTTGCTGCCCCACTGCTCTGACAGTCTCAAACAAGAACACACTTACCTCTCTCTCAGATGCTCTTTCTCTCTGCCCCCTTCTCTCTCTCTTTTGCTCTTTCATGCTTACTCTTTCGCTTCACTCTTTTTCCCTCTCTCTCTCCCTCTTCTCTCTCTCTTTTTCTCTTTCTATCTGTTTCTCTCTTCCTCCCTGCCCCCCCCTCAGCTTCCTCCTCGTCTTTCCCTTCCTTTCTCTCTCTGTCTGTTTTTCCCTGAAGGCTCTCACTCAGTTCACAAAATGGCTGTGGTTTGAGGTTAAATTGGGTTGTATAGTGAAGAAAACTGCTGGATACCAGCTTTATTTGTTCCAAAACAGAGAGTGATCTTATTCACAGAAAGCACTGAGTACTGTAGGAGATTAATTTTGTGTTGCTGATCAAATCAATTAATGTGAAGTGTCACTGGTGCTGTTGCATCATTTAGTTGTTATGCTAGTCTGAAGTTAATGCTTGGGGCCATACCTTTGTCTTAAAGATAAGTTTGTTCTGAATGTGAGAATTACTGTGTAACAGAAAGTTGTACCTAATGGCTTCAATGAACATACGGTTTTGTCTTTGTGACCCTTTGGTCTAATGGCTTGGTGTCCTAGCTTTCTCTTTCTAAATGGAAACATCCTTTCACAGATGTTGTGAATATGGATTAGTGATTCTTCAGCCCGTGGAAACTACAGCAATTCTTTGACAAATTTTTCTTGATCCTTTTCTCACTTTAGAACTAAGTGTGAATAGTGTTCAATAAATAAATCTTGACTCACTGACCAAAGAGCAGATAACAAAATTGTACTTCTTTGAGCACTTTTGGTGCTCTTCAGTGTATGCCTCAAGTACTGAATAAGGCTCCACGTGGCAGGAATAATTACATGCTTGGGCATTGCCAATAGTCATTACCTTTATGTATGACTAAGTAATTTTGAGTGCTGATCTATAAGGTTAGTATTTTAACACGTGTATGTACAACTTCATTCTAAAGCATGAGCCTGGGGCGGGGGTTGGGGGAAGAGCATGACACTAGCATCACAAACCCATTTTGACAGACTTCAAAACCAAAATGGAGATATTTAGCTACGCTACATACACCTGCTCTCGAGTTAATCCCTGTCAGATACTCCATCATCCTTCTGTGCTGTTGCTGAAAATTATGAGGAGATGAAGCATTCTTTTTCAAAACAATTTGCCAGCAATGAAGGCATGCTGAAATGGACTTGCATGGACAAAGATACTGAGCCTGTTTCTTTATTCCAAACCTGACTCTACTCTTCTCTCTCTCCTGCCCTGGCACCTCATTCATTTCTGCAGTCTCTGTGTGTTGTTTTCAGGCTACTTACCTTGCTGCCAGCTGAAGGGAAGGAAGTGTGCTCGTGTGCTATGTGAAAATAGTGTGTCTGCAGTTGAGGCAACACTTCTATCTGGAAGGGAATTAAAAGGGATGGAGTTTTAAGAAGATTTTATCTGCTGAAATCTGTGTCATTTTGGTTTTTTTTTTTGAAATGGCAAAATGGGAGAGTTCAGTCTAGCCAGTTAGACCTCATAATGCCATGAGCAAATGAAAGCTGATAAGGAAGAGCCGGCTGGTGGTACTGCATCTAGATCTTCAGTAAAAGGCCAATTTGTATTACACTTTCATTGTACAGTATTACTACATAAATAGCTTTCCACCCAAAACTCTAGTACCAGACATTTATTGGGGCATGATACTGTACATGAATTTCACATAAGGTTAAAATAAGAAAACTTTCAAATGCTGTACTGACTCATAAATTTTGTAGGTATCCTGTGAATGCACAGCTCAAAGTAGCACACTGTTTTTTAAAAATAAATAATACTAGGTCATCTTCTTATCTGAAGCTGACTTCTCAGCTCTTAACCTCTAACATATGGGTTTTTTTAATCCAAGTAGGAAGAAGCCATGCTATTTATCTGTAGCCATGATCTGAAATAGGCGCTATTGGCACTGTTTAATATACTGTGTCTTTTGTTTCAGGTTTGCAACAGTGTGTTTAACAGCTGGGATCAATTCAAGGATCACTTGGTAATACACACCGGTGACAAACCCAACCACTGTACTTTATGTGATCTGTGGTTTATGCAAGGCAGTGAGCTGAGAAGGCATCTCAAAGAAATGCACAATATTTCAGAACGAATAGTGGCAGAAGAGGTTCTTCCAGTGGAAGCTGTGGAAGCTGAACCAGTAACATCAATGACTATAATAGAACAAGTGGAGCAAGTTCATGTCCTACCAGTAATTCAGGTACAAGTGGATCCTGCACAGGTGACTGTGGAACAGATGCACCAGGATCTCATACAGGACAATCAAGTGAAAGGCACACAGATAGATGAACTGCAAGAACAGGTGCAAATTAGCTACTTGGAAGTTGAACATATTCAGACTGAACAAGGAGCTGAAGTTCACGTGGAGCAGTTACATGTTGAGCACGTAAATCAAATACAGATGGAAGAAGTTCAGGCAGAACTTATAGATGGAACAGACCTCGAACAAGTAGAATATGAAAGTGTTGATCAAAGAGAAGCGGAAGAAAAGGAACCTAATCAAGTAGATGATGCAGATAAGGAAGATCAGGAACAAGCCGAAGACTTAAAAACTCAACAATTAGTGGACACACAGAATGAAAAGGTGGATGACTAGGACAGATAATGACACTGCAGGTTCAAGAATGAAATACCAAATTATTTTTGTTAACTTTTACATTGGTTTTTGCACCACGAGTGCTCACCTTTCCAATATGCTTTCCAGTATGTCCTTAGGAAGCTGGACAAGTGGACCAAAATTAGCCTTCTTCATGAACAACTAATCTTCTCTCATGTGAAAAATAACTTTCCCATTCATGTAATACCATGGAACAGAAACTACGGCAGACAGGGACAGCTTTGTGAGGATTTTAATAGTGAATAGCTTGTATCATTGTTACCCCATCCCTGGGTATATGTGAGGGTAAGTTCACCTCTTTTCCTCTTGCAACAGAAGCAAACTCCTGTAACAGAATGGCAGAGTGTCTCCGGCAGAAGAATCAGTAAAATCTGGTGGGTTCTGTTGTAAGTGGCAATTGGGTACTTCTGAATTTTCGGATTAGACTGTTTGCTGTGTCCTAACAGCGGTCCCTGACTTTCAAGCTGGGGAAAAAACATTGTTGCTGGAGGTCCCTGAGCACAAAAATCCTGTGCCTTTTCAACACTGACTGGTTAAATATCCACAAAGTTCCTAGAGTGTTCAAGAACTTAGTTCAGTAAAAGGCAATGTAGGTGATGTTATAGTGCTTTATATTTTTGCTTAAAACTGTCAGCTACTGGTTTTTATTTTCTTGCATTAAATTTAGAGACAGGGGGCTGAGGGAGGAAACAGATTCCGTGTCGAGGCAGCGGGACACTCTAAAAGGAACACTTTAAATAGGAAAAGCTCAGTACAATCTGTGGTAAACATGAGCTGGAAGAAAGCTACCAGCAGACTCTTCTTTTATAAATTGTCATTTTTGAAAATGAGTATGTTTAAACATAAATACATAGGAGACTTGTCTATATGGTATCAGGTTCCTGGTTTTTTAAACCAATTCTGACACTTGACACAAAGATGTGCTAAACATAAAAGTAAAAGCCATAGGTATGAGTGCTAAACTGTGGGTTGAAAAGTAGGACTGTAAATAATTTAATCAATATTAGACAATAAAACAATACCAACCATGAAATGTTGCATTATTTGTTTCATCCAATAAATTAGGAACAACTGAGTGAGCAGCAGTTACCGTGCCAGCTCTCTGTGGTAAGAATCAATCTCATTTGTAATAAAATTAATAGCTCTTTACAGTAAAGTTAGATTTGTTTAGAAAATCATTGTCTAGTTCTTTGTTCAAGGATGCTAAGGACTTCTAATTCTCAATTATTGCCTTGAGACTAGAGGTTCTCCACACTTCTGAAAAACTTTCAAAGCCTTAACTGCAGGGAGGAATTTTTGCAAGGATGTTCCCTAATACTTTTGGTAATCTTGTAGATCTTAGTTAAAAATCAGGCTTTTCTATTCAGTCTTTGAATGCAGATTTTTTTCCTGGGATTTGTGCTTTTATTTAGTCTCATTCAAAATGATTCTTGTGTTTCATCATAGCCTTCGAGAAACTGTTGCAAAACAAACGTGGATCTCAATTAAAATTTCAAACAATTTGATTAATGTAACTTGCTTCCTTTTTTATGGTATTTTGTGTTTTCTGAGGTGCAAGTAGTATGTGATGAGATACTATGTAGAGTGAAGGATGTGGCCCAGTGTTAAAAATGTTGGTAAAGGTTGGCTATTATATTTATACCTGACATCCGATAAGCTCATCTTTTGATAACACGGAGGGGACAGGCCTGCTTGCTTAGCTGTGTAACTGCTTTTTTAGGTATTTGTGCATATAGACACAAGGTCTGAATCTGTGGAATTAAAGGAACAATCTGGCTGTGTGTCTAACCAATGAAACTAACCTCTAGATAATCCAAGTCCAATGTAAATTGAGCAGTTCCATGGTATTGGTAGCAGGGCTGCGGTTTGGTAAACACAGCTGGGCTCTTTCTTTGTTCTTCTGTTTGATCTCCCCTTTTCAACAACAGTTCATTAATTTGGTAGGAGAGAAACCTGTTGTTGCGCCCGGCAGTGCCCCATCCAGCCACCCTCTGAGCACAGCGGGACCATGAGCAATCCCTCCCTCATCCAGAGGGGAAAGGTTCTCCTCAAGCAATAGCTCCACCGGAGAGCCTTTCCCTTTGCTACTGCCTCTTCCCTAAAATTCCCTTCCCAAATGGGTGAAACCCAAATTGCTCCCACCTGTGGAGCTCCTCATGCCTCCTTACTGCAACAGCTGATACTGGGGAAGGGAAGACTGATGGGGAACTGGGAGTTCTGGCTGCTGCCTGGAGCAGCCCCCTTGCCATCATCCTCTTTCTGCCCCAAATGTCTGTATAGACACACAGACCTCTCCCGAAGTCTTTATTATCTGTGCATCACTGGAAGGGTTCCTTCTAAAAACAGATATCCTGCTGGTCCCAGAGCTCTGGGTTGTGCAAGTACTAGCTTGTAGTTTGCAATATCATAGCATATGGGGTGAATGCTTGAATTTACACCAAATGAAACTAATCAGCTAAAGCAGTGGGGTCTAGGCAGTGAGAAACAGAAAACTGGGAATGAACAAAACCTGTGAGGTGTGTCTGGATATAAAATAAAATTGAGCATTAAATTGACATGGAGGTTAGAGGTGGACTTTTAGATTTATATGTCATATTCATGGCAGGCCATAAGCTATTTCTGAAAGCAGAGCAGGGAGGGGAAAGGAAGCTGATCAGTAGTTCAAGAAACTTTATTCAGGCAATGTAAGAAAGGACTAGCTGCTTTTTTTTTTTTAAAAAAAAAAAAAAAAAAGAGTCTTCCTGAGCCAAAGCCTTTCATCCGCAGGCTTATGAGGATGAAATCAAATGTCAGTCCTGTGTGGTCACTAAAGGAAGATGATGCAGCCTCTGGTTTGTTTCACCTGCCTGTAGTGGAACTTCTAAGTAGCTACCGTTGCAGAATATTGTACTCTTTTACACAAACTCTGTAACTCATTATTTCAATGAGAAAACATTTATAACAGATGTTTAGTTTGGTTGCTTATTTTTAAGGGTTGAGGAATCTTTTCTATAGGGACTATCATGAAAATGTAATGTGCTGTAGGGTTTGCTGGTAGTAAGTAATTTGAGAATGAAACCAACCTGTTGATGATGACAATACAGGCAAGTTGTAGCTTTGTCAAACAACTGGCAGCTCGGGCAGGTCCAGCAGAAGCTGGAGCCCTGTCCCTACGCACCAGCTCTGACCTAGCCCTGCTTCAGCCGTGGCTGTTCCCGGTTCCATGAACACATGGACATCCCTGCCAGCGCTCAGGGTGGACGACGCTCAGCGCCATGGTGATTTCTGACCAACGAGGCCTTCACATCCATAGCCGTCTCTGATGGCACGTCTCCTTCCCCTTCCTTCAGCGAGGTCTGGCGGCCTTTGGGGGGAAAGCATTTGTACCGTTAAAAGACCTGAAGCGAGGAAGGAGGGGGTGCAGGCGGCAGCTCCCGCGGTGCGGGTCTCCCGTGTGGGGACAAGCGGTACCCGGCGGGGATGAGGGGAGGCGGGGGCCGGTGCCTGACCGCGGGGGCCGCCGCCGACGGAGCTGTCCGAGGTTCGGCTGCAAAGGCGGCCCCTCAGCCCGGGACAGCCCCCACACACCCTCCTCAGTCCGGGGCTACCGGCCCCGTCAGCCCGGGACGGTCCCCACACACCCCCCTCTGCCGGGGCTTCCGGCCCCCTCAGCCTGGGACAGCCCCCACACACCCTCCTCAGTCCGGGGCTACCGGCCCCGTCAGCCCGGGACGGTCCCCACACACCCTCCTCAGTCTGGGGCTACCGGCCCCCTCAGCCAGGTCGCCGGGAGCTGCCTCTCCCGAGGGTCGCCGTGGCGGGTGGGAGCGTGGGGAGGAAGGCGCGTCTCCGCCACGGGAGGGGAGGGAGGCGGGCAAATGGCGGGCCGCCTGACAGGAGCAAATGGCGGGCAGCGGCGCTGAGGCCCGCGGTGCGGGTCCGGGCGGCGGGAAGGGGCGGCGAAGTCCCGGCGGAGCCGGCGGTCAGGTACCTGCTCTTCCAGCGCAGCCTTTCCCCAGAGCTTGGCTTGTGCCCCGCTGCCCGCCCGCGCTTTAACCGGGGGGCGGTGGGGAAGTGCCCGCCGGTGCGAACAGTTCTTGTGCCGCTGGAGGGGCGATAACGGCGTCAGCAGGGCAGTAGCTGCTGTTTTAATTTGTGTGTTAATTTGCCAGGCGCTGCGCTGGGGGCGTGGGTCGGTGCCCGTGTGGGTGGGCTGTAATCACCAGGTGAATGCAGGTTGTTGGAGAGGCACCTGTGTCCCGCCCGACGCCCCCCGGCCCCTGATGCTGAAGCCTAAAGCCGAAATATTTTCAGCCGAAGAAATCCCATTTTGTGCTTGACGTACAAAGTACAGGAGTAATTCCGGGGAAGGAAGGCAGGACAGGCTCCCGTGTTTCCTGGGCTGGGATATTACTCCTTACATCGCGTCGTCTGTTGGCACGGCTTCGGGGGGGCTGGCAGGGCTGCTGCCGGACACCTAACAGCGGGTGTCACGAGAGAAGTGTGTGTCATTTACAGCCTCTCGGGATGTAGAGGGCATCCCCTCGGGAGGTAAGTGGGCATTGTGGCTGATGGTCACCACGCCGTTTGGTGGACACCACGGCTGCACGTGTGGTACCGCCTGTTTACCAGCCACAGATCAGGAGGAAAAGTAAAAGCTGGTGTACTCATTTTCAGGGCGAGAAGGGTGCTTGTGCAGCAAAAACCTGAATTAAATATCGAAATGGGTGTGAAATTACATATATAGTATTTTTTTTCTTGCACTGGGTAATTTCTTTTTAAATATCTTCTCAGAGCTAAAGCTGTTCCAGGGGCTGAGCAATCCCATGGCTGTAAATGAGTGAATAATTTGGTTGAGTATATTTTTTCTGACCACTTAAATATTATCACCCATCTTCTAGTGCCTTTAATTCAGCTGATACTTCTTTTCTAAATACAGTCCTATCCCACAAATAGATGTGAGGATTTCAGTTAGTTCTTGGCAGTTGGTCTGTTTGGGAATTAGAAGCTGATAAACCTGAATGTGCCAATTTTACTATTCTTACAGTTACTTCTTTGGGATCTCTTGAGTGTTGGTTTAAAAATTGCAGGTTCTGGGGTACTTAAAAAACTATTGTCCAGTTGTGGAATCCTTGGCTTTTTCACATGAAAATACTCGAAATAATTTGGTAAACTAACACAGGCACTGCACTACTGCACATATAAATAATTATTGCATATATAAAAATGTATTATTATACATTCTGATCTAGTGATTCTGTTCTGAAGGCAGTTAAGTCACCTGGAAAAGAATTGGTTGTTCAGAGCTCAGAGGTTTGTGATCGGTGGCACGGAGTCCAGTTGGAGGCCTGTAGCTACTGGTGTTCTCCAGGGGTCAGCACTGGGTCTGGTCTTGTTCAAGGTATTCATTATCCACCCGGATAAGGGGACAGAGTGCACCCTCAACAAGTTTGCTGATGACACAAAACTGGAAGGGGTGGCTGACACACCAGAAGGCTCTGCTGCCACTCGGAGACCTGGACAGGCTGGACAGTTGGGCAGAGAGGAACCTGATGAAATTAAACAAGGGCAAGTGCAGGGTCCTGTACCTGGGGAGGATTAACCCCTGCACCAGTGCAGGTTGGGGGCTGACCTCCTGGAAAGCAGCTCTGCAGAGAGAGACCTGGGAGTCCTGGTGGACAACAAGTTGTCCATGAGCCAGCACTGTGCCCTGGTGGCCAAGAAGGCCAATGGCATGCATTGGATGCATTAGAAAGAGCATGGCCAGTAGGTCGAGGGTTATCCTCCCCCTGTACTCTGTCCTGGTGAGACCGTATCTGGAGTACTGTGTCCAGTTCTGCCCCTCTCCCTCATTCAAGAAAGAAAAGTAACTACTGGAGAGATCCAGCAGAGGGCTGCAAAGATGGTCAAGGGACTGGAGCACCTTTCTTATGAGGAAAAAGAAAGGTGCTCCAGATCTGGAGAAGAGCGAAATGTGAGGGGATCTCATCAATGCATATAAATGTCTAAAAGGCAGGTGTCAAGCGGGTGGAGTCAGGCTCTTCTCAGTGACACCTGGACAAGGGGCAACGGGCATACACTGGAACACAGAAAATTCCATCTCAACATGAGGAAGAACTTCTTTGAGGGTGACAGCACTGGAACAGGCTTCTCAGAGATGGTGTGGAGTCTTCTTCTCTGGAGATACTCAAAATGCACCTGGACATGATCCTGTGCAACCTGCTGTAGGTGAACCTGCTTTGGCAGGGGGGTCGGACTAGATGATCTCCAAAGATGCCTTCTAACCCCTACCATTCTGTGATTCTGTGATTGTAGCCACATTACAATATATTAATCAATTAGCCCTTTGCTAAAAAGGATTTTTCTTTGGATCATGTAGGTTGAACTTCATGGGAGGATTTTCTGGACTTCCCCACTCAGGATTTGAGATGCTCTTTGGAGAGGAGGTGTTGCAGTTTCCTACTTCACCAGATACAGAGCGCTGACCCAAGCAGATATGGCATCATAGCAGCTGTAGTGCTTTGCCTGGGGAAAGCACAAGAGGTGGTTGTAAGATATATGTTCAAAAGGTGCTCTTTGCAAGGGGGATTTGTGGTTTTTGGTT